TATTTTAATAGTAGTTCCAAAATATTGCTAATTTGTTTTGTTTTGTTTTTTAATTGCTTGTGTTTAAAGAGCCTATCGGTATCTTCAAAAGGCAGCAGGCATGAACCATACCAAGGCCCTGGAGAGAGTGTCATATGCTCTTTTGTTTGGTGATTACCTGACACAGAATATCCAGGCAGCTAAAGAGATGTTTGAGAAACTGACTGAGGAAGGCTCTCCTAAGGGACAAACTGTAAGTGCACTTCCACGGCAGAATTTCTTGGCACACAGCACTTGTTTATTTTCACAGCAGTTTACTCTCGATGGTCTGCCTTCATTTAGTAAGGATGGCTGCGAGGTAGAATATCTTTAAATACTAATTTTGCAGCAGATCATTTTACCAATCTTCTCAGACAGTCTTTTTCCTTAGTCTGAGAACACTTGTGGTCACTTACGGCGTTCTTGAGGTTGCATCTTACCACAATTATATTTGTAGTTTTCCAAATTCAATCTGTAAAGAGTGAAACATGAAGGTGATTATTTTTTTTTTATCTGAAGTCACTCCCCACTGCCCTTTTTCCAAACTTCAGATGCTGCAGCTTTTGGTAATCTTGGTGGTTTTTTAAATGTTCATTATAGTACATGTCCATTATAGGAAACTAGAAATACAAATTAAAAAATACTAAGAAAGTAAGCATCCTATCTGTACCACCCAGATCTGAACATTGGTAACATGTTACTGCATGCACACCCTTCTTGACCTTTCTCTTTGTGTATTTACACTGTGAATTTTTTATTAAAACGAGATGCACAGTCTTCTGTTCCATTACTTGCTCCTCCAGTGAATAGCCCTCACTGCTGCACTCTGGTAAATGTAATACCCACACAGTATTCATAGGGTGTTGAACCAAAACATTTTCTTTATCCTTGTTTTGTCCAAAGCAGCATCCAGCCTAGGACTACACTTTATATTTGGTCTTTATTGCTAGCACAGTTCCCACTTTTCTTTCTTATCTGTGTTAGAAACAAGACCCATTTTTCATCTCTGTTTCCTACAGAGGATGTTACAGCTAAAGGCTGATGAACACAAGGAAAATACTTTTGGCCCAGACTGCCTTATGGGGGGTGTTCTGTATCCCAGACTGCATCACACCAGTTGGTACATGATACCTGCTTAATTCCCCTTGGTAATAGTAAGATTGACAGCTGGATTTAGGGGGCCACCCCATTTCTTTTAAATGCTCTCAATAATTCAGGTTTATTGAAGGTATGGGATATGCTTAAATATAAAATTTCTAGTCACAGAGGAGGTCTGTTTTCAGACTGTGTAAACAATAACAGGAATTGTGACCATAGTTTTCTGTAGGACCGAATACCTAACCAGTCTGCAGCTCTAACATGGTCGTGGTTTAATTTATAAACAGGTTATATGTTAACTGTTCCTCCTTTGTTTTCAAAGCTTTTTTTCCCTTCTTTAAGTCATTTTATATAAAATTCACACATACATTCTTTATCTGCAGACACATTTGGCTCTGAAGTATGGTTTTTCTTCTAAGGCATCTTTTCCCTCTAATAATAGCACCTTACCGTGCCACGGTGCTTTATGTTGTACATTGCAAAACACTCTCTCCGTGGTAATTAATTCTAGCTGATGTAACAGACACAGCCCCCAAATCACAGTGGCTCAGCACTACAGAGAGTTATTCCTTGTGCATGCCAGGGTCGGTGCAGTTCCCCTGCCTGCGTCCTGTCTTCCAGATGGTGACTCAGTCAAGGGCTGCTTCTGCCACATAGCTGCAACCGTCTGAAACGTAGGGCTTTGAGCCATCCTGAAAGGAGAAGTGAGGGCTGGAGGATTCTCTGGAAAGTTTTTAATGGCCACACCTAAAAATGGTTCACATCTCTTTTTGCCGCATCCTAGACATGTGGCCCCACCCAAGAACAAGGGAGGCTGGGAAATATAAAAGAGCTCATAGATTTTGATGAGCACTGGCACGTGATATATCTGCCTTTCTAACTTCAGCTTATACTTTCGTGTCATCAAGGATTGTCCTCAGAAGGCAAAGATTAGAACCTTACCAATGCATGTTTTGGTTGGTTGGGGGTTTTTTTTGTTGTTGTTGTTGTTTTTTAATGAAAAAGTGTGTGTGCTTTAGCATTGTAAAGTGACCTTTCTCTGTTGACCCCTTCAACTTGACCCTTGCTGCCCCTTTTTATTGCTAGGATAGTTTATCTTGGTAGTCTCTTACCATTTTCATTGTGTTTTCTCCTTTGCTAGGTAATGTGTTGATCATTATATCATTATAGGGGCTGTTTGGTTCTCAAAATAGCTATTGATCAAGATAAAGTAAAAGCCACGTTTGTGTTCAGCTTTGTTTTTCTAGTTAATATTTTACTAAGTTGTCTTTAATCTTCAAGGTAGACTATTTGTTTAAAGTTGTATTTCATTGTGTAAAACCTTGAATGCATTTCTGAGTCTCTTTAATTCCACAGTTGTACATACTTGGGGATTCAAGTCTTTCAGCATCTAAAGATTGTTGCGTCTTTTCGTAGTTCATAAAACCATGTCTCTGCTGGATACACTTCCACTAGGGAAGAATTCTTACTTTTATCATTTTATTTCAGGCCCTTGGCTTTCTCTATGCCTCTGGACTTGGTGTCAATTCAAGTCAGGCAAAGGTAATAATATGAAAACTTTATCATGTACAACAATTTGAATTGGGTCAGTGTGTGCCTATGATCAGTTAAGTGTCTTTTGTTCTTTCACAGGCCCTCGTGTATTACACTTTTGGAGCTCTTGGGGGCAACCTGATAGCACACATGGTTTTGGTAAGTAAGATTTCAGGGGAAGACTTAGAAACATTGAGTAGCAGAATGTTTGGGTTTTGAGGAGCCATAACTTTTCTAGCTTTCATGAACAAGATCTGCTTATATTCATTCAGATCAAATATTCAGTTGAACGTTCTTTAAATTCTTATTAACAGATATAACACTTGAATCTACATGTGGATGAAAATTTGTAGAGTCCACAGTTTTTCTTTAAAATGATTAGTTTGGCTGATTGCCCTTAAAATAGAGATCTGATAAATGGCTCTTTTTTTTTTTTTTTTTTTTTTTTTTCTGTAAGTTGGAAGCTTGTTTGTCAGGCTTGAGTTTTCACAGATTTTACATTTCCTAGGTTGAGTTTTCACAGATTTTACATTTAAGTTGATTTTCCATTGAACATTGATTTGTTTTACATTTATATTCACATGAGTAAGGAGATCATTACAGTACAAGAATCACCTAGAAAGGCACTTAATTCACACTGGTGTCAGAAGGAGAGGTTAAAGGAAAGAGGTTAAAAGAAAGTTTCTTTCTGAGGAAAGAAACAAAGTAACTTTTGAGGGATAAACAGTAGTGAGTGAATAAAAGTGGAAGGGCATCCATATAGCAGAAGCAATATATACAGAGGGACAGCGACAAGGAAACATGGTGCTTGCAAGAAAATACAAGCTTTTTAGTTGCTGGAGAGGAGAATGCCAGGAAGTGCATCAGGAATCACGTAAGTGAACTCTACATCCTGCCAAGGAGCTTGGACCTTGTCTGTGACAGACACAAACTGCTGAAGTAGTTAAAGCCACTGAAAAACAAGGATATTGCTCTAGCTTTCTGAAACATTCCTCACTAGTTCTGAAGCTTTTTTTCCCATTGGTTTTTTCATCTGTGGTCACATTTATTCCTCAAACAGTAATTGAAAAGTTGCTTTTAGATGAATTTTCCAGAAATTTGAAGCATTTATTTTTGTGTGGCAAAAGTATGTTAAATATTTTTTACAGATAACTTTTTTTAATTTACCAATCTTCTTAAATAATGGCTACAGGATAAAAACATGAAATATTATACACGTAATTATACGATAATGCCCTAAGGATTGTGACAGTTGTAAAGTTGAGTCTGTGCTAAACGACTCAAGAGGCTCTACTTTGCATCTAATGTTCTTTGTAATTCACTATCTTCCCCCTCCTTCTGAAATCATTTTTTGCTGGTGTCTTTGCCTGCATCCAGTAATCGTTTGTTTTCCCTGTTTTGCTAATTGTTGCTTCTTTGCTGGTTTAGTAAATCAACCCTGTTTTGGTTAAAATCCTGTCTAAAATAAGATTATGTGTTCTTAGCAAGAGCCCAAGTAATTTTCTTTTACACATTAGATACGCAGAGTTCATGCATAAGGTTCATGGCATCTGTTTTGATTTCTGTGGGAACTTCATTATTTCCTAGTGCTTAGCTATAGTCTAGTTGTTGGAGTTGCCGAACTTAAAACTCAGGATGAATGAGGTGGTGATGTACTGGGATCAAGGAACCATAGAATTACATCCTGAGTGCAGGTGGCTTTCTTTGTTACAACGAGAGCTCCAGTGAAACTGCAGGCTTCTCACCAGAGATTGTCTCACAGGGTTACCGGTACTGGGCCGGCATCGGAGTCCTCCAGAGCTGTGAATCGGCACTGACTCACTATCGTCTTGTTGCCAATCATGGTATCTATTTTTTTTTTTTTTTGCCTTTCACCGTATCAAAAGAAACAAAAACCAAAATGGATTTAACTTTAAATACATCTATTTTTGTTGTACTACTTGAAATAACCGTGACTGACTCTCTTAAGTGGAATGGTCTTTACCCTAGTTGACTAAGAACTTGTGTGTGTATGTGCACATGTGCTTTGGATTCCACTTCTTAAATAGTTTGTCGAAAAAACTAGGCTTCTGTAGATTACTATTTTGTAATCTGTAGATTACTGTTTGCATAAGGTCTGTCAACATTTGACAGCTGAAATGATACTTTTTTCTATGGAAGAATGCTTCTGACCTTCCTCCATGTTATTACTTCGTCCCCTTGTTTCAGTTGCTAGTGACATCTCACTGACAGGAGGCTCAGTAGTACAGAGAATACGGCTGCCTGACGAGGTGGAAAATCCAGGAATGAATAGTGGAATGCTGGAAGAAGATTTAATTCAGTATTATCAGTTCCTAGCTGAAAAAGGTGATGTACAGGCACAGGTATGTATTTAAACATCTCACGGTATATCTTACTGCATTTTATATTATAGTCTCGGGCAAGAACTTACATCTATTGGAAACATTTTTATTGCTCTGATCGATTATTAACTATATATTAGAATCACCGGAGGAGCTTTTTTTGTTTTTTTTAGAGTGTAGGACTCTTGGTACTTTAAAAAAAGTTCCATTTGGGGGGCGCCTGGGTGGCGCAGTCAGTTAAGCATCGACTCTTGATCTCAGCTCAGGTCATGATCTCACGGTTCGTAAGTTCAAGCCCCTCATTGGGCTGTGTGCTGATGGCATGGAGACTGCTAGGGATTCTCTCTCTCCTTCTCTCTAATCCTGCCTGGCTTATGTGCTCACTCTCTCTCTCAAATAAACTTTAAAAAAAAAAAAAAAAAGACATTTCCATTTCCGTTAGGATTCATCTGGGATGTAGACTAGGCATGTGTTCCTAGAAGCTGGCCCCGTGATTGCACCACAGTTGAAAACCATTGCTTGAAAAGAGCAGAGTTTTACAGATGATGAGGCTCTTATTAGAGTCCTCAAGGATGAAAACTGCTACTTTTTTTAAACAAAAAATCTCTGGAACATTTATAATTTCAGATGCCCTTCAGAGCCATTTACTGTTCATGTTTCCTTTGCTTGTCGTAGACCATAATTTCCTCAAGGTCATCAACTGAAGTAGCCCAGTTCAATGCAAATTGTACAGTATATCAATCAAAACACCATGTATAATTTGTTATTTCATGGATTATTTGATAATCCTAAAACAAAAAGGAGAACTTCAACATCTGCCTGTTTTTTTCTATGAAATTTAACAGATCTTTTCTGATTTAGAAATTTAGAGATAAACATTAGATGCTTTTTGAGAACAATTAATTTTGAGACTTAACAGAAGGGAATCTTAGGTTTAAAAAACAAAACAAATAAACAGAAAAACGGGCCACCTGGGTGGTTCAGTCGGTTAAGCGTCCAACTTCGGCTCCAGTCGTGATCTCACAGTTCGTAAGTTCAAGCCCCGCATCCAGCTCTCTGCTGTCAGCACAGAGCCCACTTCAGATCCTCTCTCCCCCTCTCTTTCTGCCCTTCCTCTGCTCTTTTTCTCTCTCTTTCAAAAATAAATATTAAAAATTTTTTAAATTTAAAAGAAAACCTGCAGTGGAATACCTAAATCTTAGCTTATGGAAATTATAATAGTTATCTTGTCTAATTAAACATCTTTCTTTTATATGAGAAACCAGTTAAAATTCAAAACCATCTAAATGCCTCAAAATAGGGAACTACTTATTTCAAATATGACACTTCCATGTGATGGAATTTTATGCAACCATTAAAAAACTATGTAGAATATAGAATACTTCAGTGTATTCAGTGGAAAACTCAAGTGAAAAAAATCCATATGTGGTATTATGTATCATTTACTTTTTTTTACTACTTGAATTATGACCTTAATATAGAAAAGTACATAAATCTGAAGCATACAGCCCCCTGAATTATCACCAAGTGAGCATCCTGTGTAGCACAGCTAGCATCCCGGAGCCCCCTCTTCCCCAGGGGTAACCCACTGAACTGACTTCTAACACTATGGATTGGTTTGGCCTGGTTTTGAATTTTATGTGGAAAAAAAAAAATCCTACATATTTTTTGGAATCAGCTTGTTTTGCTCAGCATTGTTTATGAAATCAATCCATGTGTTTTCATGTAGCTGTAATTCATTTACATTACCCTGTGGTTATTTCATTGTATGAAATCCCACAGCTTACCTACCCACTTTACTCCTCCCCAGATTCAGGCTATTGCAAATAATGCTCTGTGCATATTCTCTTGCATGTCTTATGCCAGTACTGTCTTAAATTTCTGTAGCTTTAATGGATCTTGATATCTGGTAGAATACATTCTCCCGCTGTCATATTCTCAATATTCTCTCATATATTCATATGTGACCCATGTGTAAATTTAGAAGTGAATTGCTTAGTTTTCATATAAATGGGGATTTTCTCCTTTTTTTGTTGAGTTCTAGCTTAATCCACCATGGTCAGAATATACTCTGCATGATTTCAGTTGTTTGAGATGTCCTGACACTTGATTTATGATCCGTCACTTGGTCAGTTTAGGCAAATACTGTATGCTGAAGAGAATATGAATTTTCCAGTCTTTGGGTATAGTGTTCTTTGTGTGTCAGTTGAGTCATGTTTCTTAATGCTATTGTTCATATCTTGTGAATCCTTACTGAATTTGTCTGCTTTTTCTGTCCAGTGCTGAGACAGTATTGTTTAAATTTCCCATTGTGGTGTGGATTTGTCTCTGTCTTCTTGTAGTTCTGTCAATTTTGATTTATGTATTTTAGGCCAGGTGGAGTGCACTTAAACTTAATATTGTTATCTTTTTGTTAAACTAGTTTGCACATCATGAAATGTTCTCTTTTTATGTCAAGAAATATTTTTTGCTTTTGTACTCTGCCTGCTTCTAGCTATGCCACTTTCTTTTGGTTAGTATTTACATGGAGTATCTTCTGTATTCTTTTGTATTCAACTTCTTGTGCTTAAGATACGTCTCTTGGAAGCATCAGAAGACTACTTTTATATCTTTATCCATTCTGACAGTCTTTTAGTTGAAAGTAGTTTGTGATATATTCAAGTTTAAATTTTCTATCTTGCTTGCCTTCTTTCCTTAATGCTTTTCCATGCTTCTTTATCTCTCCTCTCTTACCTTCTTTTGGTTTGAGTGTTTTTGCTGTTGCTTCTCCTCCCTTCTACTAATGTGATAGTTGGACTTTGTTTTACTACTCTTTTATCAAAGTTTAGTATGAATGAGCACTTTTTACCATTTCTTGGACAGTGCAAACTTTAGAGTACTCTGTATGTTTTAATTCTGTCAATTTTTGAATTCCACAAGATATTATTTTATACAGTCCATATAATTTAGATTACTCACAAATTTAACTTTCCATTGCTCTTTATTTCTTACTGCATCTTTAGGCTTCCCAGGATAAATTTCCTACCTCCTAAAGCACATCCTTTAGTGTTTCCTTTAGAGTAGGTTCCCTGGTGACAAGTTCAGTTTTAGTTTGCCTGCAATAAATGTTTTATTTCAGAAAGATGCCTTGTAATTAAAAGCAGGCATTTTCAGTTCTTAGAAAATGTAGGGTTAAAGTAGAGTAATATCTTCAGGAGTTAAGACTAAGTCTTTAAATTTTTGAATGATGAACAGAAACCTTTTTGTAATTGTAATTACACACCAGATGCTACCATTTACTTCTCATTTTTGTTAATTTTCAGGTTGGTCTGGGACAACTGCATCTGCATGGAGGCCGTGGAGTAGAACAAAATCATCAGGTAACTTTCCTATTCCCGGGGCTTTGCACTTCATGTCGTAGATGGAAATGATACCCCAGATGTATTTCTTGTCAGTCAATGACAATATCAAGTTTGTGTTATTTAGATAATCTTCACAAACGATCTTTTAAGATCCAACTAACCCCTGAGAAAGCTGAAGACTAAAAATGTGATTATACCTCATAGTGGTGGGAAAGGCTTTTTTAATTCTGAAACCTAGTTCTCAATACTGCCAAAAATACACACACAGTGTCTTGGTTTCCTATAGGTATGTGATAGAAGTATGTCTTAAAACTCCCATTAGAAAATATTTTAGGGGCGCCTGGGTGGCGCAGTCGGTTAAGCGTCCAACTTCAGCCAGGTCACGATCTCGCGG